ACGAAACCACACGAAGCTTTTTTCACAGCTTTAAAAAAAACACAGTACCACCACACCGTGACAGGGGTAATTTCGTTTTCTCCGGGAACGTGAAGAACTCAGCGGGGGTTTGATTATTAACTTGCAGAACGATAGAGAAAGCAAAGAAAGTAAGAACACCATAACCAACCACCACACACCTTCGAATTTTCCTTTGTCGCTCGTTCAAGAGGCAGAAAACTAGGTGAGAAGTAGCACGGAGAAACCGAACCGGTAGAGTTTCAGGTAGACGACTGTTTCGACTATTCTGATTCAGCCGCGGAAACGCGGGTTGCTTAAATAGCCGCGCACTTCGACGCCCGCTGTAAACGTGCGAGAGAGACGGATACACCCACGAATGTTCACGTGACTTTTAATAGTGACTCTTGGTCCAGAAATACTACTTCGATGGAGAACGGTTGTTCGAAAGAAGCGAGAGGAGGGGTGGAATTTTGAAAGAGCGCGTAACCCAACTTGGGGGTGTTGTGTGATCCAGAGTTTCGATCATTTTTTTTTTTGGCACGCTCTGAAGTCTGTCTACGGTGGAAGTATCTCTTCTGTAATTTCTCTTGGATTGCCACGAAGGGGGGATAGAAAAACATGCATTGTGACAAAGGTGACAGAAGAAACGGAAACACACAACTTAGTGCTTCCAAGTATTTTTTTTCTTTTCATTTCGAGGATACACAGGGTGGGGGGCAATAACTACGTCCACCTTGTGAATATTGCCGTTATTTGTAATAATATGAAAAACTGTTGTATGTAAAACTTGCACGGTATAGAGGGGGGCATATTGTGATATATTTTTTGCGTGGGTGGAGATATAGAGATTATTTCAAGATCGTTTCTATTTGTTTAAACAGAATGCTGTGTTATTTTTATCGCGATGTGATAGAGCCGGTGTTGAAGATCGTGCAAGGGTCAAATGTGGTAGTAAAATAAACTTTCTTACATTACGGTTTATCAAAGTTCCGGTACAGTTCCAATCTTCGTATCGCTGCATCACGTGCATGTCTCATCGTCTCTGAAATCGTCTCAACACCGGCTATCACACCGCGATGAAAACAACATAGCGTTGTATTTAAACAAACAGAGGTGACCACGCATAGGTATCACAATAACGCCCTCCTCTATACCGTGCAAGCTTTATATACATTTTTTTTCATATTACCACAAATAACGGCGATATTCAAGGTGGACATTGTTGTCGCTCCAGCCTGTATATTTCCTGATTACCGTTTCATACGGGAAAAGGAAGAAGAGTATCGTTAAACGTGTAAAAACCATCCACCGATGATTGTCTAAATCCAAGTATATACCTCATGATTAACCGCTGTAATCACGCGTTATTCACTTGTTCTTCGCTACCGTTCGTAGCGAGTGATTTCGCGTGTTCGGAATTTGTAAGAAATTTGTAGCCCTCTCTGTTGGTGCGCCGAGGAATTCCATCGACAGAGAGACACGCACAAGAGAGAAGAAATATGTCCTTTTGATTTCCGACGAGGAAAATAAAACGTAGAGCCGCGTTAGAGGAAGAGAGAGAAAGAGATGGAGAGACGAGAACATCAGCACTCAGTGTTGTGCTGCTTTTTCGTAGCTTTTTCAAGCTGTTAACGCGAACTTTTCTCGATGTCCACTTTAACATTCTCCTCCGTCGTCGACGAACTCTCGACGATGGAGGAGATAAAATAGAAAAAAAAAAAAAAAAAAAAAAAAAAAAAAATGAAGAACAGAAGCTCTTTGCTCTCTTCGAGAGCGATATTTCAAGGTGCGAGAAGTATACTTTCTTGAACTTCCCTCCCTTGATATGTATATCATCGTTCATGTGTGTGGTCTCTGTTTTAAATCGGCGTAACGTGTAATTGTTAAGAGAAAAAAAGGCGCATGTGTCGTATCCTGTAACTTTTGCAAATTAGGGGAAAAAAAGAGATAGAGAAGCGGAAGCATCGAGCACAATTCCATCGTGTTTTTTTTTTCCGATAAATAATGTACGGTCGAGGTGTGTGTCTCTGCAATTTTTGCGAAAAACGCGCCGCGGGGAGCCACTCTGTGACACCGTTGAACGAGAACGGCGCGTTGTCGAATATTCCGAGAGAAAAGAAAAGCTAAATGCACATCGCATAGAACGAGAAACTACATACATATATACGTACATATTTATGTCTAGGGTGTGGATTTTTAATGTAAAGGGGACTTTACTACGAGAAGTAAAGATGAAGAGTTGTTCCATTTATGATGGGAATGGTGGCTGCTCCCATCCGAGATAAGAAAAAAAATCGACGATAACTCGGACCTTCTGCGGTTCGATTGTCGTCACCAAAAAAAAAAAAAACGAAAAGAAAAAAAGATATAAAGCAACAACCAATTGTTTTTAGGATATGTGTTTTAAAGTACCGATTTACGGACATATATTTAGGATAATACTCTATTATTAATTGATAGCGAGTGTGTACATGTTAATACTTGCTAGGGTGCGTGTTATTTGGTATATTTCTTCCTAATTAGCGGCACAATTGCCGGGTAATGTTTTCACAGGAGACATTATTCCGTAACTTCCGGTTGCTCCGTCGTATTCGATATATTTCTAATTAAAATCGACGATCACGAAATTCTTTTAACACCGAATCAGATCGCAAGAAAAACAGATTGGATTCTTGCCAGAAAATTCTTAACGACGCGATTAAAAATCGTAAAACAAAAAAGAAATAGAAGAAAGATATGGTATACGCGTGAAAATTGCGCGAAAGAAAAATAAAACGAGAAACGCGCACGCGATTGAGAGAGGAGACGAGGAGGAGCGCTTGTTTAGCGGGTAAATATGGGAGTAGATTTTATGATTAATAATATTTCAGGGTACGTTAAATTTAATTTTACCTATATTAAGTTTTCTTCTCGATTATTCGACTTTGAACACCGAGATATTCTAAGTAACTTTACTGTGTGGGGCATCATATTAGTGATAATATATTACATAGTAGGCTTAACGATTTTTAATAAAACGATTTAGGTAACGCGTAAATCGACCAAATATATTTACTAATATCGATGTGTAATAATCTCTTATCTTTCGAAGAAGAAAAACAACCTTCTGATAAATTCTCTCGTATTTCTCTGCTTTTTTCAATACATATATACATATAAATTACACAACGTGTGCCAGGGATATATACAATATTTTGTAACTCACGATCGGGCATTTTACCAAATTAACAGAAAAAAAAAAAAATACACCGATCTCTTCGTTATACGATATATATAATACCAGAAAAACAAATATATTGCGTGAGAATTTTGCATCTTTTTTGTCCATATCATTAAGCTGTAATGAAAGAAAAGCAAAAAGCTAACAAACGTGTCTCTTTGATACTGGATAAAACGACTTTTAATTAATTCGTGTGCTAGAGAGAGAGAGAGTGAGTGAAAGAAGAGGTATACTTCTAAGGAGCTAATCTGCGTGGTATACAGATAAGGTATATTATAAAGTATATTATTGGTAATTTGTATCGATTAACACCACCCCACTTGTACTACTACTACTACTACTACTACTACTACTAC